GTGTGGCGCGGGCACAGGCGTGGCGGCGGGAACGCGGTGCGGGCCGGGAGGGAGGGCCTGGGGGCCGCGTCCTCAGGCGGCCTTTGTTCCGAGGCGCCCGGAAGGCCCTGCCGCCTCTGGACCGAGGAGTCGGGGCCTGTCCGGGAGCAGGGCGCGGGTGGATCGGGAAAGGAGGGGCGGATACCCAGCGGGTTGATACACGGGTTTCTGCCCCAACCCCTCGTCGCACAGTTGAAGTCCTTCAGATCCCGGGGGAATGGAAGCGGAGGGATGCTTTTGGCAGAGGCAACGGCACGTGCAGACTCGGCTTGTTGGAGGCATTGCCAAGAATTCGCTCGGTGGTCTTTGACCAGAGGAGGGTCCCCGCGTTAGGAGTGAACAGGCTCCCTCTGGCTGTCGCCCGGGGAATAGACCGGGAGGTGGGGGACCAGGGGAGGTCACTGCATCAGCCCAAGCCAGCGGTGTGGAGGGCAGTGGAGGTGTATGAAGTGATCTGAGGGGTCAGATGTGGGGCGTACAGGAACGGGGTGGGGGCTTTGGTTCCAGCAAAGTTAGTTTGGACTTAAAGAGCCAGCGGGGGTGAGTCTGAGACCTCAGTAGGCCCTGAGGGTTAAGGCAGGCCTCACTCTGGGGCTGTGGGGCTTGGTCCCGACTCTCCGACCCTAGACTGGAAATGTGTGGCCTGGGTGTGGGATGAGCCAGGTATCCCTTTCGTGTTTGATAGAGGAGAAACTGAGGCTGAGTGAGCATGGAGCCTAGTTGGTGGTGAACTAGCTAGCAGAGCTTCTCAGATTCCCAGAGTCCCTTGGGGGGTGATAACCCCTCTTTCTGGTGCCCAGGAGTGGGAAATGCTGGGATTATGAGGTTACAGTTTGACAAGCATCCGGGTTGCTCAGCCATGCTCCACTTGCACCCGCCCAGTCACACACCCCTGTGCAGGCCACACAGATCCCCTCTCTGTGCCCACAGGCCCCATCCATATTCCAAGAAGCACCATGGAGTGTGCCAGAAACCACGTGTTTTCTTCTCGTGGGGCACCTGCCAGGCTAATGTCCAACCTACTCTGAATCCTTTGTGACTATGCACACTCCTGATCGCTTAGTCCAGGGTTCACGTTGTGCCACCCCACTCTGTGAAGACCTCCGTGTACACTGGTTAACAACCCGGTTCTGAGGCAGCAGAAGGGTGTGCACAGGGCCTTGGATGTTCTAAGGTTGGGCTGTGTGGCAGGAGCAGACCTAAAGGAAGCCAGGAGTGGAGGGAGTTGCTGCTGTAGGGGTGAGCAGTGAGCCAGTTGTGGATGCTGGTCTCTGCCCTCTTCTTCACAGGGCTGCCCCCTAGAGGGCTGTGTGGGGAAGGTTGATAGGTATTGGATTTGGGGGAAGGATGGGGGGGTGGGCCAAGACAGAGAAGCCAGCCCTGGATCCTCCCCTGGGTAGTGAGCAGCACTGGTGGGGAGGCAGCAGGTACTTTGATAACCCTGCCCCTCTCCCAGCGGTCTGCAGGGAACTGCGGAGATGGCTAGACACGCAGAAGTCCTGGAGGGTGTGGAGTGTGTAGGGGGAGGTCACGCTGAGTCCTGTGTGCTGGGCGGAGTGCCGCAAGGGTCCGTTGGGGAGGGCTGAGATTCGCCCTTGGGCCCTGTCCTGCGACAAAGGCTGAAGGGACAGGGACACTAGGGTCGAGGGGCGTCCCTGGCTGACCTCCCCTTCACCCCCCTCGTTCGGTGTAGATGGCGGCGGCGGAGGCGGTGCATCACATCCACCTGCAGAACTTCTCCCGTTCGCTGCTTGAGACCCTCAATGGGCAGCGGCTGGGTGGGCACTTCTGCGACGTGACAGTGCGCATCCGCGAGGCTTCGCTGCGCGCACACCGCTGTGTGTTGGCTGCGGGCTCACCCTTCTTCCAGGACAAGTTGCTGCTCGGCCACTCCGAGATCCGCGTGCCGCCGGTGGTGCCCGCGCAGACGGTGCGCCAGCTCGTGGAGTTCCTCTACAGCGGCTCGCTGGTGGTGGCGCAGGGCGAAGCCCTGCAGGTGCTCACGGCCGCGTCGGTGCTGCGCATCCAGACGGTCATAGACGAGTGCACGCAGATCATCGCGCGCGCCCGC